CTATTCAAGCTATTTTTGGGGGATGCCCCAGGGGCTGGGCAGGAAAATTGGAACACATGTACTTTGTTTCAGGGCAATGAGGCATCCCAAAGGTCCCTGGCTGTGCCAGCTAGCAAAGCTGCACAGGCTGCCCAAGGCCAAGCCCAAACCCAGGCCATTTGTCCCCAGAAGAAGAGCATGCAAGTCATTGCTCTGCCTACTGTGGTTGTTTTGGGTCATCTTTTCTTTCTCAAAGGCTGCTCACCTCATCACAGGAACAACACTGTCACGGGGAGGGAGAGCTGATGGGACCAGATTTAACAAATAAATCACTAGTTTTGGCTTTCCTGGTTATCACACCCCAAGAGTCAGTTCTGTCTAGCTCTGTCCTTTAGCCTCGAAGAAAAGCATCAGGCGACTACAAAAGGCTAGTACAGAAACCCCCTCCAACAGCTCAAAATGTGCCATCCGATTACTTTCTCTTACATTCCAGTGAGATAGATAGCATCAGTGCCTAAAGCACTGCCCAGCTGGGAGTTCAGATTTGAGAGGTATTTTGCAACAACATTAATAATACCTCTACCTGCCATAGCACCCATCCATATCTATGCACGGCACACATCACGTTTCTATTTGCACCAAAGCCATAGATACCTTCCCCTCCCTCTCAAAGCCAGCCAGCCCAGCTGAGAGGCACATGTAATGAATCAAAGTGATATATAACAGCTGTAATAATTTTTCCTATCTTTTATGGTTTGCTTTTTTAAGTCTACTCATCTGCTTTGCACTTTTACAGATTTTAACTACACTCTAGTGAAAAAGCATATACAAATGGATGATTGCTTAGAAAGTGAATTTGAAACGTCCACTCAAATAAAAAAAATATGTAAAATATCAGATTTTATGCACACAGGAATATGCAATAAGCAAAAAATAGCTGCTGGGAAAAATATTTAAGGAAATCACTTCATTGTGTTAGTGGCAGAAACGATTGCCTTTTGAAAGCATTATTAGTAACAGATGCATATCTTCTGATGAAATGGAGGACACACTGTAATATTTTAAAGAGGTCACCACACACTATATAAACTCTAGACAGACATAAAAACTTCAGATTACTGAAGACTACATGAGTTAATCTTTTAGCGCATGAATTATTAAGAGGACTGGCTCCCCAGGTTTTGGTGTTAATTCTTATGCTTTCCTGAACTCAGGCACTCAGTGGTCAGGCTTTTCAGCATTTTTTTCCAGCTTGCAGTGGTTATATCAAAAGCTCCACCAGAGCTTTTTCATCTCCCAGGACTGCAAGGGACTCTTCAATTAAAAAAAAAAAATCCAGGATGAAATTACCTTATTGAAAATACATTATTGAAAATAACAACAATCCAGAAGAATAAAGTTGCAAAACAGATGCTTACCAAAAATAAAAAATTAAAATTAATTAACATAAGTCCACATCCCTGGTTTTATCCTCCACCCCCTGCAAGCTGGTGCCACCTCCAGCTTCTGAGACCAGTGGTAAATTTGGGACACAAAGCAAGACCACATTGAGCAAAGCAAGCTACTTGCACCTCACCAAGGCAAGCCAAGTAAGACCTACCTCCTAGCAATAAAAGTCACATTATTTACTGTCTTAAACCCATTTTTCTCACTGAGCTAGAGACTTGCTGTTGGCTCAGTCAAACCAGATCTGAGCAGAGTTTTGGTTCAAATCCCCCCAAACCCTCACAAAAAGCACATTACCACTACAAAAAAGCTGATGTCTTTGCTGCTTCTTCACAAGGTCTATCCCCTACAGAAAGATCCCCACTTTGCTAACCTTTGCTAACCCACTCCTTTGCTAACAAAGGCATTGTGGAGGAGGGGATGCAAAGGAAAATCCTGATCAGGAACACCTGTGCTTAAATGTTTCTCTTTTCCTTAAGTTGTCAGTCAGTTTCTAAGAGACATCAATCATCTCTTCCTGCGAGACTTTGCTGCTTTTTTTTTTCTTCTAATAACTAATCTCAGCTCCTGTGATTTTAGGATGATTTTGGGGAAGCATGGTGCTAAAACTCATCTCTTGTTGATGAACAAGTCCCTCTGCTTTCATATAACTAAAAATACCATGATGGAGTTTATAGAGAAAGCTGGAAATAGATCTGAAGGCCTCCTAAAGGCTAAAACAGAAAAGAAGGTGACTAAGAACAACAACCAACTTATTATTGCTTGGAAAAGGCATTGTATTTCCCAGCTGGCCAGGGCAAATAAACCAAAGCTGAGACTGAGCTTTGTTTTAATGCCCTGTGATATCCAGGTTTATCTCATGGTGCCCCAAGGACTGACTCATGACTTTCAGCTGCTTGGGTTTGCCAGGATGGAGGTACAAAAAAATACAGCCAGTGGTTTCTCTGCTGCAAGGTTTGGGGGCAGAACCGTGACCCAAAGAGACATAACAGAGGTGGGCTCAGCCCTGGCTCTCCCCAGGCTCCTTGTTTGAACATGGGCAAGGCACTTCTTCAAGGGGTTTCAAGCCAAAGCAACCCTAAAGATGTAGGTGTAGATCTACCACTGAGTTTGGAAATCCCATTCAGTGTAAAGCCCAGTTGCCCACCACTGAGGGAGGGTCATGGGGGGTGCTGTGGGCAGGGGAGATTTGTTTTTCCCTTCTGCTGAATTTCATGGCTGTAAACAGCTCTGTAAGGCCCTCCACAGCTGCTCAAAGTTAAAACTAAAAAAACCCCAAATGCTTGCATCGGTCTTGTCATTTATTAGATGGCAAGATATTAATTTTCACTGGTTTATCTTGATGCTCTGTTCACCCCCAGCTGTTGTGACTGCAGAGGGATAAGATGCCAGAACCTAATAAACAGGATGATAACATAACTTCCTGAGTTTCGGAAAAGAAATACTAGCACTTTTATGGCGTACATTATTTTAATGGGCTGTCTTTCTGTAGCATGCATTTTATTTCACATTTTTCATTCATTGTTAGCAGCATTTTTACTCCCAATGGATGCTGCAAGGCAAGCCCATCTCAAAAACTTTGCAGCTCTTCCATAAACATCTGCCCAGAGGGGAGATGCTCCAGTGGAGTGGGATGGGTCCTTGTCACAAGCTCAGTGCTTTTTGCAAACCTCAGCTCTGGGACCTACAGACCTTTCTCTATTTGCTTACTCAGGGGACAAACCCCGCCGTGATGCCCATGGCTAATCCTGCATCCATGGGGAAGCAGAGCCCAGCTTTCCCCTCCCCCTGCATCCTTTGGGTGAAATGAGGTTTTCTGGGAGCAAGCTGTAAATCAGGGATATGGTCCAGCAGAGCAGGTTTGCTCCCGCTGGAGGCATTGGGAGGTTTGGCTTGGACTCCGATAGCCAGGAGGATGGATGGGTGCCAGCTAACAAGGGCGATTTTTTAGTCTTTTTATGAATGATAGTGATACCTCTGGGCTGCAGCAGCTGCGTCTATAAATTGAGGAGTTGCCAATAACAGGAAAGACTTGTCATGTCTTAATTAATGCTGTGTGCTAGCTGCTGGCTCTGGGTGCCTATTAAATGTCTCTCCACCTGGCATTTATTATTATTATACACAAATGTGAGGGGAAAGGTAGAGGCTAGCTTTTGCCTGACTCATGCTATATGGCATTCATAAATGCCATCTGGAGCACATGTAAGAGTGAATGCTGCAAACCCCTTCTCCCAGAAAGGACCAGACCCCAACCCAGCTTTGACATGCAGAAGGCCAGTGAATTGCTTCAGGTTTTGGTAAACAAGGTGGACGTTGTCCCCTCCTTTCCACTGAACCCCCCTCTGATAGCCCTAAGGACTGTCTCTTCAGTGGAAGAGGGATCAGCTGTTCAGATATTTATTTCTGAATTTTCCCTAATTCCCAGCACTTGGTTCTGTTTCCAGCTGTGCCAACAATGGCCATCTGTGTAACTACCACAGCTTTCCTTAAAGAGGTTAGCCTTCCCCTTAGGCTCTTGTGTTGGTCATAACTCTCTGGATTGATAGTTAGAAAGGATGGTAATAAGTTTTTTTTTTTTTTTGGATGATCTGGTTAATAACTTGATATATTTGAATCACTTTTGGCTCATTTGAGTAATTGAGCCCCTTTTGGGGAATGAAAAGTATTAAATCACTGGATTCCCTTTTGGGAGGATATTTTCTCAGTTAAGCAATCCTTGCTGGTTTCTGCTCTGTAGGCTTGGAAATGAAGATTAAATAATAAATTGACTATCTCTATGACAACAGATATACAGCTTTCCTGAATGAGACATTGTTTCAGAAGGCTTGCCAGGTGGATCACAGATAAGAAACTTTCATAAATTATATTTTTGGCTCCAACACATAAAATATTATTCTTGATGCTTTTCCAAAATGTGATCAGCTGGTGCAGGCTGTTGAACTGCCAGGGCCTGGAGCTTGGAGGAGTCCAAGGGCTTCTTGCTGTACAGACAGATCATGTGGTTCAGCTGGGTCTGGAGTAATTAAATTTCCATTTGTATGCTTGGGACAGCTGAAAAGGTGAGCTGAGGCAAAGAGGAATGTTCAGGGCAATTATTATTATGGTGGTTGAAAAAAAAAAAAAAAAAAAAAAAAAATGTGGACAAGATGTTTCAGCTGGTCATCTGTGGGCAAGAAGGACAGGTGAAAGGCCATCATATATTTTGAGGGTTTGTGGTAGAAACTGAGGGTGACCATTTTCCAAAATATTAGGTATTACCTGGGACAGCATAGGCAAGAGGAAAGCCATCTAAGTCCACAGGGGTGATTAAATGCCAATTATGTGAGTGATGGTTCTTCTTCCAAAGAAATGCTTGCTACGAAGAAGACTCTGTCCAGCATTAAAATATTGTTTTCCTGCCAAAGTGCCACAAAAGCATTGCAAAATCACATGGTTTCGATTTTCTGTCTTGTGCCTCATCTGTGCCTGGCCAGCACTTCTGCTGTTTCTCACTCTCCCTGTTTTTCTCCCTTAGGTCTCACTTTCGGTGCTTTGAAACAAAGAGAATAAAAGGAAAACTGAGACAAAAGACCAAAATGAGGAAACACCGACATTTGCCTTTCACAGCAATGTTTTGCCTCCTACTCTCGGGCTTTTGCTCGGTTCATGCCCAGCAGCAAGCAGGTGAGACGAGACTGCTTTACCCGACTTCGCCCCTGTGCAAACATGCTACTAGTTTACACCATTTGGTTTTTAACATGCATGTCGATGGTACATTGTGGTTTACCTGCTGCTCCTCAGCTCCCACTCGGCTGAGGGTCCTTTTGGACCCAGACCTTAGCCAACGCGCGTGGTGCCTTCCCGAGCATGTCACTGGCTGGTGGCGCGCCTTTGAGGACGCTCTGCGGGGGACGGCGGTGTGGGATGTGCACCCAGGGTGGCCCTGAATGGGTTTTCTCCTGGGCAGAGCTGTTTTGCCCTCCTTGCATGTGTAGGAGGGCTTTTTGCAGAAGAACACTGCCACCAACCTGCAGAAAGGCTGTTAGGGGTTTTTTTAAGAGGAGGCGCTGGTGCCTTTGGGACCAGAGCTGGTGTTATGAGGGTGGGTGTTAGCAGCAGGAAAAATACGGAAAACTCATGCCAGCACCGAGGCTAGTTAAACCGAGCAGCCCTTCCTTCCTTGAGCACCTCCACGGAGCCAGCAAAGCCCTGAGTCGGCAAAAGATGTGTAGGAGACCATGGGCAGCTAGAAGCTGAGGAAGCCTAAATTCACATGTGAAGCTACAGGCATCTTTGTTTGGCTCAGGGCTGGTGTCCCAACCTATGCGGCGAAGGTCTGGGAGGGGAGAAGCATCTTGCCTCCTCCTCCCCGGGAAGGCTAGGTCGCATGCTGTCCCCTCCTGTCCCCCAACGCCTGCGGTGTCAGGGTGCTGATGGCTGCCTGTTTTTTTTGCCAGTGCTTCTTGTTTTGCTGCGGGTGATAAGGGGAAGCTAAGCTTCACTTTCACCATGTGAAAGAGGCTGTTGGTCATTTGGGCGAGGAGGAGGAGGAGGAGGCATGCTTGTGCTGACCGATAGAAAATCCTAAACCCCCATCTGTTTTTTTAAAGCTGTCAAAACCGTTGCCGTGGCTGATATAATATTTCTAGTGGATTCCTCTTGGAGCATTGGGAAGGAACATTTCCAACTTGTTCGAGAGTTTCTGTATGATGTTGTAAAAGCTTTAGATGTGGGAGAAAATGATTTTCGCTTTGCCCTGGTCCAGTTCAGCGGAAACCCCCACACAGAGTTCCAGTTAAATACCTACCCCAGTACCCGAGACGTCCTGTCCCATATTGCCAACATGCCTTACATGGGGGGAGGCACCAAGACTGGAAAAGGATTAGAGTACCTAATTGAGAACCATCTCACTAAAGCTGCTGGAAGCAGAGCCAGTGAAGGCGTCCCCCAGGTTATTATAGTGTTAACGGACGGACGATCCCAGGATGATGTGGCTCTGCCATCATCTGTCCTTAAATCAGCCCGTGTAAACATGTTTGCGGTCGGCGTGCAGGATGCAGTGGAAGGGGAGTTAAAGGAAATAGCGAGCGAACCCTTCGATATGCACCTTTTCAACCTAGAGAATTTTACTGCTCTCCACGGCATAGTTGGAGACTTAGTGGCGAGTGTCCATTCATCCATGACTCCAGAAAAGGCTGGGGCCAAAGGACTGGTTAAAGACATTACAGGTAATGGCTGACTGCTGATGGCTCCCATCAGCATGGTATCTGCTGGTGTTGCGCTGTTTAAAGCCTTTGTAGGAGCAAGACTGAGATGGACCTTCAGAGGTTTAAAAACAAAGGTTTGAAGTGTGTTTGTAGCTGTTGAGCATGCCGTTGTTTGCAGACTGAGCTGGCATCCCTGCCAGAGCTACCAGGAGGTAGTGCAGGAACCCTTGGATGGCCAGCAGCCCATTGTGGCCACCCTTTTGTGTCCATGGCATGGAAATGCAAATGTAAGGAGCTCTGCAGAGTTATTAAATTGCCCCATCCTACCCACTCCCAAGGCAGGGAAATAGGGGATGAACACACCAGCCGTGATGGTGACTCTTTGAGTTCCTGACCAAAATCCCTCTGGAGACTGAGAAGGTCGCCTCTGGCTGCGGGGACACCATGCAGGATGTCCCCTTGCAGCTAGCGGGGGAGATAGGCAATGTGCTACTCCAGAAAGTCATTCTTGGCTGAAGACAGCAAAAGCAGTTCGGTGGAGAACTACTCCACTGAAACCCCATCCCTGAGCTGGCCCTTAGCCTCTCTGCTCATCTGCTTGGAGTAGGTATGTGGTTGAAGAGTCCCTTTTGCTCTGTCACTCAAATGCCTGCTTTACAAGCTGATGGCTTCCACCTGCCAGAGTGCTGGACCCTTTCCATAGCCGAAACCTCTTTGCAAACCATGTTGGCTTTGATGGATCTGTGCTGATCTCAAGTCAGAGGCCCAGTTTGCCTGGAAAAATATGACAGTCTTCCTCCGTCCCTAGTGTGTTTATGAAATTTTAGCTTGGAAAGGGCCTTCTGAACGGCTTGTTGTGTTTCAAAACAGAAGTCCCAGAAATCAAACCTTTCTTTTTATTCCTGAGACTCCATCTGAAGGTCAATAGCTTGTGGGGTGATGTAAGGCAACAGCAGTGTGATGAGGCAGTGTAACATTAATCCCCCTGTGTTGTCTTGCCTGATTAACCCTCACGCCAGCCCCACTGGGTGCTCTCCATCACTGCATGACACCGAGCAACACCAAAAGGCTATGCTCACGTGTGTTTTTATTGTGCAAAGTGCTTGACAGGGCAATTATCTAGATCATGTGAAAGCCACAGGGAAGAAAACCAGCTGCCCCAGAAAGATGATGTAAGGTTTGCCAATTCTAAGAAAATCATGTCAATATATGTGGAAAATGAATGTTATACCCAACCTGCTGACAGCACTGCAGCGGCTGTTCAGCATCTTCGCCATGAAGGACTCCAGTGCTTCCCTGTTGAAATCAATAGGGGCATTGGTCTTTGCAGACTGGCTGTCCTCCTCTGGGGCATGCCAGCAGGTAACCCCAAAGTACATAAACATCTGGAGTCACAGACATTTTTTTAAAAGCTTTAAAGGTAAATTCCTACTTCATGTATATCATGCATTTCCAAGTTCATTTCTACTCAAAGGTATTTTTTGCAAGCATTTCCTTCCCTCCCGATAACACAAATTTAAGCTAATCCTACTACTGTAGTTTTGCCCCTGTATGACTTGCACGGGCGATATATGGGGTATCATTAAACATGGGAAAAGATGTTACAGGTCCTAAACATTGGATGACAGTAGTGTGCAAAACATGGTGCAAATAACTGTTTGCATAAGAGGTTAAGAAGTCATTTATTCAGCTGATATGCTACATGTAGCATTAAAATGTATAAAAATGCTGTTCATGTTATGCTAGAAATGAGCCCCAATATGAAGCAGAAATGTAAAAAAACCCCAGTCCCATAGTACTTGCAGTATAGAGTACCGAAGCTGTTGGTCTGTGGCAGTCCCCAGAGCTGACTAGCGTAAGTATGAAAGTCAGCCCCAAGTTTGCCCTGATGTATTTGTTAAATCTTAGCTGTCTGTCTCATCTGACCCTCCTTGCTTAGTTGTGTAACAAGCATGCTTTTATTTGTTCTCCAGCACTAGCTTGTTCCATAAATGTGCACTGAAGTATGAGGTTTTTTTACGGTGATGACAAATTATCCAACACATCTGTTTCATATCTATTTTCTCTCCTGTGGGAGTGACCCGTGATGACACCGTGTCTGAAATCTTGGTCCTCAGAAAGATGTCCACGGCGTCTAAAGCAGCGCTGAGTACAACTGCTTTGAGATTTCCCTTTCATTTATAGGATGAAGTGGAATGTGTACATCCCAACTGAAAATGGCACAGTAAAGACAACCCTAAGCACACCTAAATTTTGATTCAATAATGGAAAAATAAATCCTGGAGCCCTTTGCAATTCTGAACATCATTGATATTCTCCAAGCCAACACTGGCTATTGAGTTGGCCCAGGGAAGAGATGATGCCCTGGAGGCCTTCTCCTTTGTCACTGGAATTGCAGCATTATTTGAATCTCCTGGTGGCATTGAGATACATGAAAACATTTACTAGAAAAACACCTAAACTAATTGACACTGCTGGTTAATAGCAAAGACCACGGGTTTATTCCTGGCCTTGTTAAACTATATGCCAGTTTTGCTACTGGTTTCACCTTTGGCTTTCAAAAGTTGAGAGCTGGGTGGGATTTCCAAATGTTGCTTGTCATTCATTTGCAAATAGTCTGAAATTTAATTTCTTAATGAGATTGGAGAGTGATAGCTTGGAAACATCTGAGCATGCTTTGGGGTCTTCTTCCCCCCCTTTTTGCATGCATACAGCTCTTGATGACATTGATAGTAAAATTAGTTGAGCAAAAGGAGTAAGAGCAGACACCAGGGCATTTTGGGTCTGCTTCGGTAAGTGTCACAGCAAAAAATGCTTCCCCCTGAACAACCATGTTCATGCCATATAAAAGTTTTGCTTGGTGTGTGTATGTTCTCAGCGGATGCTTGCGATCATCTGGGTATAGTCACAACAAATAGAGTTGGATAATTGTGTCATGACTGATTTCATCACCCTGTTTTAACCTGATTCTGCATTCCTTGATTGAATATCCAGAGTCCATATAAAAAAACACAGACCAGACCCCTCTATCGATAATAATGCATCTTTGTGCAAAATAATTAAAGCAAGACAATTTTTGTGTGGTATGGGATGACAATTGTGCGGGTCAGCTTGCTGGACAATTACCATCATGTGTATGCTGGCAGCTGGTAAAAGAGTTACAGTGTAAGAATAATAACCAAACCTTCTCAATTGTTTCTAACAAATGCATTTCAAATAATAATCCTTCATGGTGGGAGAAGCCAATATATTCAGCCATTGTTTTTAATGAGCAAAAGAGCAGAATTGCAACAGAGATGCTGAAACTTTCCATGTATCCAGTAAACAGTGGCTTTTTTCTTATTAAAAAAAAAAAAAAAAAAAAAAAGAGAGACTGCAATGAGGAAAACCTCTTACAAATATTACTGTCCTCACCTGCTATCTTCAGGGTGAATTACCACCCAAATCCACCTTTTTCTTTTGGCTCTGTCCAGATTTTTGGATAGTACTGGCCACTGATGGAACAGATCTAGATTTCAAAAAATTATTTTTTGCCAAGTTTTCTCCTGGCATGCCAATAATGCTGACCCCCCCATGTAACTGCAGCCACTGGCTCAGGTTGTATCTGCTCGAACCATCTCTTGATGGATAGCGGATGCTACTGGGATGGGGCTGGGAGCTTGTATTCAATCAGAATGCAGAACTAAGAGGCAGACATCACCTCCTGAGCGAACATGTGTTTTGTTTTCTCATTTTCGTGTTTCTTACTGGTTTTCCAAGAAACATGTCAGAACACTGTACAACCGCATGTAATCACTCATTTTAATGCTTTCACATTTTGCATTTCTTTTTTTAAAGCTCAAGAGTCCGCTGACCTTATTTTCCTTATTGACGGATCAAACAACATCGGAAGTGTCAATTTTCAAGCCATACGTGATTTCCTTGTAAATTTGATTGAAAGCCTCAGAGTTGGAGCTCAGCAAATACACATTGGGGTGGTGCAGTATAGTGATCAACCCAGAACCGAGTTCGCTTTGAACAGCTACTCCACAAAAGCGGATGTTCTGGATGCCGTGAAGGCACTTAGTTTCCGCGGTGGCGAGGAAGCGAACACTGGTGCAGCACTGGAGTTTGTGGTGGAGAACCTCTTCACCCAGGCGGGAGGCAGCAGGATAGAGGAAGCAGTGCCTCAGATTTTAGTGCTGATAAGTGGTGGAGAGTCTAGTGATGATATCCGAGAGGGCTTGTTAGCGGTGAAGCAAGCTAGTATATTTTCATTTAGCATTGGGGTCCTGAATGCTGACAGTGCAGAGCTGCAGCAGATTGCTACTGATGGAAGCTTCGCATTTACTGCCCTGGATATCCATAACCTTGATGCTCTTCGAGAATTAATACTGCCCAACATTGTTGGAGTGGCCCAAAGACTCATTTTGTTAGAGGCCCCAACCATTGTGACTGAAGGTATGTATGCCTTTCTAGACTGTTGCATTTTGACAAATCGATGAATGAATGAGCTTTTGCACGCTTTAAAAACATATCTTTTTTTCTAATTTTTTTTTTTTATTTTTGCGATGCATCTCTCTGGTCTGGTTATAGAGAAACAATGGGAAAGATGAATAGTCCTGCAGCTAATGTGCAGAAACTCATTTGCCCAGTGGGTTATCTTTTGAAAACCGTGAGGTTTTGTGTCAAGAGCTGGCATGGTGTGGGGTTTTAAAGGACACGTGCAGAATATAAAAAAGCTCATATAAGCCTCATTGGGGTATCTAAGCACCCTGGGGTTAAATACTGCAGCACTGTCAGTTCTGAAAACATGTATGTGACGTAAGCTTACATTATATGTCAGTTGAAAGCTTCCTGAGATGAAATTTGACTGGGGAAGATAACAGGCATGTTAAATGGATCCTTATTTCACAGAGTTGAAGTTATCAGCTTGATAAAACAGTAAAATTCTGTACCTCATAGAAACTGTGCAGCATCCTTGGGAAAAGGGTGAAATTCCTGTGTTGTCGAACTTAAAACCAAAACAGCCTTTAGTTCTTCTGAAGTGAAATCCCTACCTTGCTAACATATATTTCCCTTCAATCCATAAGCTGAGAAAGTTTACAGCTTTCCATGAGGCCATGGGAAATGAAAATGTAGGTGTCAATATTCCACTTAGGTCACTTTGTTACTCGTAAGTCCCCATTGACACTATTTCTGGACTAGAATTAGCTTGGGGGCAGTAGAATAATGAACATCTGGATTTATGGAGCAAGTAGGTGATTAAGAGTTTCTCACCCTATGGTTTTATGACTAAGTTAAATTTACTGATAGAGAGGCTTTATGAAAGACATGTCGTATTTCAGAGGCCTCTGGAAAGGACCAGGCTGATGCTGCTGCACTTAATTACCAGGACGCTTAATGCAAACAACACTTTCAGGATCCAAGTGCCAGTGTGGAGTTCTGTACATACTGTTCAACTCATGATGTATGTTGACATTTAAAACTGCATTCCAGATGTCTTCGCTGATCTATGTCTAAACATGATTGCTATCCCGTGGCTCAAATCAAAGGGAGGAATTTGCCTAAAAGATCATTTTATGACCTTGCCTTGTTTATTCCAGGAAAGAACATAAAGAACTTTTGCTTGTAGCACCCCACAAGAACCATATTTAGCTAAATAAGCTGAAGTCTGCATGTCTAGCTAAAATGTGCATGCCAGGACCCATGCAAGTCAATGGAAAACCTCTCTTTCTGCTCCTCTGATTTTTTTAACAGCTTAAATGGCAAGGTTGAAAATGTTGGTACATTTGGTTTCATCTTTGCTTGCATGTTTTTCACTTAAAATGCCAGTTCATTTGTAGAAGGTACTACAGTAGCATCAGCCTGTGCAATTACATATAGCTGGCCATGCTAAATGGTGAAGTGGCTATTTTCAAAGGAGCTTTAGGGAATTTTCTTTCACTAGCATTCTTTCCGTAGCATCCATGGAAATTAATTTTGACTGGTTTGCTTGATTCACATCAGTGCCTCGGAAGTCTGCAGCGTAAAGCACTGGTTTGGGAGACACGCTGCAGCCCGAAAGGGATGCCAAACCCATTGAGGTGCCAAGTGTTCCTGTGAAATACTGAAGTCACCTTGTTTCACTTTAGTTCTCTGGCTGTACGCTAGTCCTCCTGGGATGAATGGATGTCTCAGAGTGCCTTTCTGCCTCTCTTCTCCTCTCTTCTTTAGCTACTGGGGGAGCCTGGATCATTAAATTAGATGAGGTGCTTCACCAAAGGTAGCTGAGATGGCAATGAGAAGGGACATATGCAGGGCTGGGTTCAATGCTGACACTCTCCAACGTTCCCAACTTTTAGAGTCAAAGATCCCAGATCCTTTGAAATTCCTGGGAAACTTGCCATCAGCTTTACTGGGCTCTGGATCAGACCCTATGAGATGTGTGCATCCTTGCTCAAATGCGTTCGCTTTAATTGTGTCCATTGAAAATAGCACCGTGGGGTGTTTCTTCCTGTGAGTTTTGGTTTTGGTTCTTGCATTCCTCTTCTCTAAGGAAACACACTGCAGGATTTGAGAGCTGCAAGAGGAATGAGTAATGGAGGGAGCTATTCCTTCCCAGCCTCCCTCATCTTTGCAAAGCCCCTTTGATGCTTCCCACAAAATTCTATATAAAGTCAAAATTTTCCAGGGTCTCCATTTTTGGGTATCTAGCTGCTGACAAGCTAAGGAAGCACTTTGGACATCTCTCCTGGGTGATACAAAGCAGAGATTTCAGCCCTTGTTACCCATTTGGAAAGTTTCCTGTTTTCAGCCCTCTCCTCCTCGGAGTAACTGATGAGGAAAAAAACCTGGCTGGAAGGATGAATGCTGGAAATCATGGCTCAGGGAAAGGGGTCATTTAAACAAATCCTTGTTGTTTTGTGAGTAGCTCTGTTTTGACAGCCTGGGCAGTCAACTGCAAGCCACTGGCAGCTCATGTTGGGCTGTGGCTCGGGGAGGGTACCACCACATTTGCTTTGTGCAGGTTCTCATCATTTTGTGTCCAACAGCAATATGGCGGGCTATTTTGAGCTTCAAATTTTGACAATCAGTCCTTAATAAAACAATTTCCAGCAAGAGTCTGTGAGAGGCTTTTGCAAAGGCTCACACTTGCTGGCGGATGCAGGTCTTCTGGGGTCCGGGGGCAGCCGAGTCGCAGATGTCATCTCCAGTTCTAAATCACTCCTTGGGGTAGCCCAATCTCATGGCACTCACCCATACTGAGAAACCTGACAGAGACCAGCTTTTGGGAGCACTGCTTTTCATGGCCAGCTGGTGTCTGGCCAAGGTGGACTGCAGCCAAAGCTTTGTTCTTTGTTCAAATCCAAAGTAAATAGCCTCCACACAGAGGAGCCCTGATGGGCTGAAGGGCTGCCCTTTTCCATCTAGGCAGGAGGAGAGTGTTTGCTACCACTTGCCCTGAGGGGTGTGAGAACCCGACGATGCTGGGTCTCCTCTTCCCCCACACTGTGCGCTGGGCGTAGCAGTGAGCCTGGGAGGTGATGGACCTGCCACCTTAAATATTGACCCCATCTCAGGAGCTCTTAGGTGGCTAGGCAATTTAAAGACACCCCAAGTTCAACTTAACACAATGAGCCATAATGCTCCAGCATAACCTGGAAGCAACACAAGGTTTCCTTTTTCACTTCAATGGCATGAAATCAGGGAGGGGATGATGTGAGTGGGGTTGTCTAAAAGATGGGATTAAGATTATCTCCCATGATGATCATGTATAATGCTTTTTTCATAATGGTATTTGTCTTTTTAATATTTACTGTTTTTTTGTGTTCATTTGCTGCATTAAATATGATTGTGCTTTGGTTCCAATGCCACACAGCAGGGTTTTTTTCCTCCCTAACTATCTTCCTTCAAACTTAGCCAGGGAACTGGAAAGCTAATTGTGCTCTTTCTGTGTCCTGTGCCATCAGCAATAATAAAGTTTCAGAGATTACAACCTAGGGGACCCGTTTTGTTAAAGACATGGCAACCAGAATGTAATTCAGCTCTTCCATGACTGGGCTAGCTGTGCCAAGAAAAATCATAACTTGTTTTTGTTAGATAAGGAATAAGATGTAGGATGTGAAGACGCAAAGTCCAGGTATGTTGAGTAAGTGAAGACTGTTATTTACTTGCATCATTGCTCTTGAGAACCTAATCCTTCTGAGACCAAACCATGCTCTGGCATGATTCAGATGGCTCCACTGCAGGTAGAGGGAGCATCGCCTGCTTATTTTATCTCATGTGCCAGCTGAGTGATAAGATTTCTCCTGACTGCCTTTCTTTCTTGTTTTGACATATTACGCATTTTAATATTAAGTTTTATAAAAAATCCAATTCTTGCAACTCTTCAACTCTTCTGTGTTTCAGAAAGGGGAAACATTCAATCAGATTTCTTATTAGCCCTCTGCTAGAGCCTAAATAATAATGCTGTTTTGAAAGCAAGACCCTTTTAAAAGTGTTGAGAGTAACAGTGCTTCAAGCAAACAAGAAGTCCTAAACATTGCTGAACTGTTGACATAGAATTGATGCACAGAGTGTGGTGAAGGCTTCCACTAACATTACGTTCATGTGTTACTTACAGTTATTGAAGTGAACAAGAAGGATATAGTCTTCCTGATAGATGGCTCAACTGCTTTGGGGACTGGCCCCTTTAACTCAATTCGTGATTTCGTTGCCAAAATTGTCCAAAGGCTGGAGATTGGACCTGACCTGATCCAAGTTGCAGTGGCGCAGTATGCAGACACTGTGAAGCCAGAGTTTCATTTTAACACCTACCAGAGCAGAAAGGATGTGATGGCTAACGTGAAGAAAATGAAGCTTATGGGTGGTACAGCACTCAACACTGGCTCAGCACTGGACTTTGTGAGGAACAACTTCTTCACCAGTGCTGTCGGGTGCAGGATGGAGGAAGGGGTGCTCCCCATGCTGGTGCTCATCACTGGTGGTAAGTCCAGGGATGCCGTTGACCAAGCCGCGGCAGAGATGAAAAGGAACCGGATAGTGATCCTTGCCATTGGGTCGAGAAATGCTGACCTGGCAGAACTTCAAGAAATTGCCCATGAGAGAGATTTTGTGTTCAACCCAAATGACTTCCGTGTTCAGTTCATGCAAGCCATTCTTCCTGAAGTGCTGTCGCCTATCCGGACACTCTCTGGAGGACTGATTGTCCAAGAACCACCATCAGGTAATTAATTACCTTTTTCTAATTAAGGAGATACAGTTTATATGTTTGTCAACTCTTATTCTCTGATGTGTAGAGATAAGGAGGAAAAAAGCATCAAGCACATGTTTCAGCATAGCTAAATGTTGTCTCTTTGATTTTCAAAATGTGCAGAACATACTGGTGAATTTGGTAGCGTGGTTGTTGTTACAGCTTTGCCATTCCTTCCTGGAGATTTTTGTCCCTTTCCATATTTGTTACCAAGATTTAAAGGCCTGGACGTGGAAGATGTGCTTTACTAGTTAGGTACTGGAATCATTCAGTGGAGGCTTTTTCTCTCACTTAGGGTTTGTGTAACCTAGGAACAGGACACACTGTGAATGTCATAATCTCTTCCCCAGTTTGAAAATCATTCATAGTGGGTATTTGCTCAAGAAAGCTTAAAAGTTTCTTCTGAGTGTAAAGAAAATAAGCAAGTTTGTTCATGGAGATTTTCAGAGAAAGCTAGCCTGACACTGTTGGACTGAAACTCACCCTTTAAGAACATATTTACAGTTTTCTTATCATTTACTCAGCTGAAGCCCTAAGAGGCATATGAGACTATTGCAGTGTTTATTTTAATTTAGTCTGTTTAGAAGATGATCCAAAGCCCTGTGAAGCCAGTGGAGTCTTTTTACTTGGTCTTGCCATTGACATCAGTAGACTTTGGAAGCAATCCAGTCGCTGGAGTCATGTCTTTGAGGCAGTTTCCCCTGCATTTCAAGAGGTGTTCTAGCTGCGTAGAGATATCATCACAAATTTCTCAGGATTTCTTCTGGATAGAGGTGCTCAAGGCTGAATTAATGTTGCGCTAGATCATATTTGAACCTTGCATTTCTGTCTCATGGCATATAGACATTAGAAAACCAGGACTTCTTCCATCTCCCATGTAGGTCGATAGTAAGGTTCCTGTTGGCTTAAGTGGGTGTCAAACCATGTCCATATTTTTTCTAGTTTCTCCAAGTAATTTAAAATTATAAACCACAGTGCAAAAGAAACAGTTTTTGGAAAGGGTCCTTAAAGAATTAAAGCCTATGACCGATTTACATGAAGAGCAGACATTTGAAAATCAGTTTGCCAATACTTGTCCTTAATTAAGATGAATATCACGGGACTTATCATTTAATAAGCATTTTTTTCAGAATGTGTTTCCTGCTAATACAGTTTTGCATGGCTATACACCAAACCTGACATTTTTATTTTTCAATGTAAATTAAAAATGTTCCTATACTTTCTTGTTCTTTAAAGCTCATTCATGCAGCTTCTCCTTTTTTCCAGTCCTTTTGCTCTACTGTACTCTCAGATACTCACATACACAATAAGCAAGTAATCATATCCTACTCCATAAAATGACTGTTGTTAGTAACGTAACTGATTTTGACACTGGGCAATCTGTTACATTTCAACTAGATATTATCTCACCCTGGGCCTTGAATGGCACTTTTCTGGGAAAAATTAAAAATACAGAAAACCAAGACAATCTGTAAAAACTGAAAGCAATGCCTGTACACCAAAGAGCCATTTTCTCCCTTTTGGTTTTAATATCTTAGTATTTACACATTTTATATATAGGACAGCAAGCTTACAGGGACAAGGCAAGCTAGAGAGATGGATGAATATAGCCATATACCCATAGGTAAATGTTTTAAACAGAAAGATAACGAACAGGATCAGCAATAGGCATAAATATATAACTTATCTGGAGGAAAGCATGCAGAGGGATGCATTGGATGAGCCTGCTCAGTATTCCTCTGAGATCTTATTTAATGTTTTGGCATTTTGATCTGTCATCTGGACATGACGTGTTTAGAGCAAAAAGCACAGGGGCATGGTCCTGTGGTGTCTTTGGGGTGACGTTGCAGATCTGTGTCTTGGGGCTCAGATGCTGGGAGACAGCCCGGGAAGGATTTAACCTTAAAAAAGGAGCTGAGAACTGGCTGGTTACTGCAAAAAGTGGGAAATTTCTCCCCCTTCAACAGCCCACAAAATGGATGCCAATAACTGCAGACATCAAAAATACAGTTTTCTGCATCAAATGCAGATGTCAAAAAGGCAGGTGTCTCAGACAGCCATTGCAGCCTCATCTGGACCAGCTTTTCTAAGCCTATCAGTAAAAGCTATTTTTAATACCCACTCAAAATACCAACCAAATTTGTTACTTGGCAGAAGTGTTTTCCCATGCAAGTGGAGCCTAACTCTGAGTTGTGAGCCAGCCACTGCTGGCTGCACAGCAAGACCATGGAAGTCACTGCAGGGCAGAACATGGTTGTCTACATCTAGGGATGCAAGGGAGCATCCCTGTGGAACAGGGGATTGCTTAATAAGGGAGTGATAGTGCTGGGTGTCAAAGCACACTTTAGGTGCAAGAAAGCAGAAACATTCCCTAAAGCTTTGTTGGAAAGCCCCAAGTAAATGCATGGTGACTTGTAGATAAGCAAGGTGTCTGTAGGCATAATTCAGTGTTGCTCCACTACAATCAGTGAAGCTGCCTTTTGCCAGCTAAGGATCTGGCCCAGAGCACGCAACTGTTGTATTAGCAGCCATTGAAAACATCTGCCATGGCAGAGGCTGAGCCCAATTGATAAACCTGACATTTAAAAGACTTTTCAATACAAGTCAGAAACCTCCCCTGCCCAATTTAGTCATTTCCAGCAAGGTCCTTGTTACTTCTGTGCTGATCATATTCTTTCTCTTGTCTTTTTCTCCTCCCTTCCTCCTAACAAGGTTTACATGTGTGTACAGTGTATGCTGTATGCACACATGAAAAAAAAATTTCTATTTTTGTTTTCTGTGATGTCTCATGTTATTTTCTGTGCTCTACTGCAGTTCAAGTAACCAAAAGGGATATCATCTTTCTTTTGGATGGATCACTCAACGTCGGAAATGCCAACTTCCCCTTTGTGCGTGACTTTGTTGCCACCCTAGTTAACTACCTTGATGTCGGCAGTGACAAAATTCGAGTTGGCTTAGTGCAATTTAGTGACACTCCTAATACCGAGTTCTTTCTATACTCGTACCAAACCAAATCAGACATAATTCAACATATGGGGCAGCTGAGGCCCAAGGGAGGGTCAGTGCTGAACACTGGCTCTGCACTGAACTTTGTGCTTTTGAATCACTTCACTGAAGCTGGTGGGAGCAGAATAAATGAACAAGTGCCTCAGGTCCTAGTCCTGGTGACAGCAGGGAGGTCTGCTGATCCCTTCTTGCAAGTTTCCAATGAATTAGCTCGGGCTGGAGTGCTGACTTTTGCCATTGGAGTTAGGAGTGCGGATAAGGCAGAACTCGAACAGATTGCCTTTAATCCAAGAATGGTATATTTTATGGATGATTTCAGTGCTCTGGCAGCTTTACCCCAGGAGTTAAATAAGCCTATAACAACATATGTTAGTGGAGGTGTGGAAGAGGTTCCACTCACCCCAACAGGTAATACCTACCTTCCTTCGTGTTGACTGCATTAAGTTATTCTTGTTTCTCTTGACTGTTTGTTCCCAATGTACACATTCACATCTGTCCTAGGCCCTGAGTTAGGGGAGCTAGGGCTGTGCTTAACCATCAATATGTGGCTTGACACTGGCAGCTTTTCATTTTGTTCAAGTCATTGCTAGCACACATTAAAGACAGCACAATTTTAAGTCTTTTGGCAGGTCAAGACTGAAGGAGGATTCGAATGAGTCTATGCCTACCAGTCACTTACTCAGGTGTTCCCTTTCTGTTGCCATAATAATGTCACAACCTGTAAATGCATGATCTGCACTAGCTCAGACAATGAGAGCATGCACTTTCTGCCACAAGGAGTGGTGTGGAAAGGTTAAAGCTGTACAAAAGAACACAGAGGAGCAGAGGTCTAGCCAGGTACAGGTGGCTGAATCTTTCCCCAGAGCCACCTTGTCAAAGTGCTGTCATCAGGCTGTCACAGAGGCTGAATTTGACTGGCAATATTCAAAGTTATCCTCCAACATTAAACCCAAAAGCTGTTGGCAAGTTTAACCTTTTTTAAACAGGTATTTGCTCATTAATCCCCTTATTGTGGCTATGTGCATATGAAGACATAAGAACAACCAGGATTGTTTAGTATGGAAAGGAGACCATTAAGATTAATATGAAAGATGTTAAGACACACAGATATGAGATGCTTGGTTTTGCCTTGGATATTCAATGAAATTAAAAGGGCATCAAACAAAAACAGGTAAAAGGCTTTTTCTCCTCCCAAAATCATAACTCGCCTACGGATTAGATGTTCCTTGTGATGCAAATGGGAGAGGTACTTTAAGAGAACACAGAATATGCTTTGTGTGCATATGTGTGCATGAACTAATGCCTAATTGTTATCTACTGAACCTTTAAATAGAAAAAAACCTCAACCCTCCACTGCTGTTATATTTCATGCCTGTGTTGCTAGATCATAAACATCACTGGCCTAATATGAAAGAGCCAATTTATGATATGACTGACGTGATGTGATACAATATATGATATGACTATGTGGTGCCTGAATTTACTGAGTCTTAGGATAGAGGTGTCCTTGCTTCCCCTTCCTCCTCAGATAAATAAGTCAAAGGTACTGTTTAGTCCTGTAGCCTTTGAACACTTTGGTAAATGAAAATCACTTGCTTTGCATATTGAAACCCAGCTAATTTTCAGAGACATTTCTAGGATGACATTTAAGAAGAAAAATGCCTTCATATCTTTTTTTCCCCTCTTTTCATTTGTGAATTTATTCTAGAAAGCAAGAAAGATATTTTATTCCTGATTGATGGCTCAGCCAACCTCTTGGGTAGCTTTTCTGTCGTCCGGGACTTTGTACAAAAAGTCATTTCTGACCTGAATGTGGGTCCTGATGCCACACGAGTAGCTGTAGCTCAATTCAGTGACACCATCCAAGTTGAATTTGACTTTGCCGAACTCCCGTCTAAGCAAGACATGCTTCTCAAAGTGAGAAGGATGAAGATAAAAACTGGGAAGCAACTGAACATTGGAGCTGCACTAGATGAAGCTATAAGGAGGCTGTTTGTGAAGGAAGCTGGAAGCAGGATTGAAGAAGGGGTTCCTCAGTTTTTGGTCCTCCTTGCTGCTGGGAGATCAACTGATGATGTGGAGCAACCGTCAGATGCTCTGAAACAAGCTGGAGTTGTGACCTTTGCTATCAAAGCCAAAAATGCCGACCCTGTAGAGCTGGAAAGGATTGTTTACGCCCCACAATTCATTCTGAACATCGACTCCCTCTCTGAGATTTCAGAGATTCAGCCAAACATAGTCAACCTGTTGAAAACTATCCAGCTTCAGCCAACAGGTACAGGGACCCCTGGGGTTTCCAGGAGGCTGAAAGACACCACTTACATGCCACCCTTAATTTGGTAACTGGGGCAATTGGGTCTGGTGATGTTTAAAATGATTATGTAGAAACTGCTATTGTACTTGGATTTTCCTCTGGTCAGACCCTGATCCAGCAAAGCATTAAGATCCAAACTGAATTTTAAAGATGGGTGAGGAAAAAGCCTTTTGTTCATCTGCAAGAGCTGCAGTAGGTGCTGTTACCAGTGTGTAAAACATGGTACAAACCTGAAATAACAGAGTTGTTGCCCCAGAGTTCTTGCATAAATTGATATGCAACACTGGGCAAGGGCTAGAAGCAGCAAATAAAGGCTTGTCTTGATTTCTCTTTCCATCCACCCTTTTCTGGAGGAGTGGTAAGGAGTAAGAAGCATTGCAGTGTGCTGGATTCACTCTTGCTCCATTTATCTCCTACAGGATATGACAGCAGTTTCTACATTTTGTACCCATGCACCAATAAATTAGATGCTCTTGACTCAGTTACTGCTACAAGCTCAGTAGATGAGTATGGATTAATTGAAGAATAAAAAAAAATCATAAAAAGAAGCACATGACCACAATTCTAAATTCACGCTGTGGTACTGGAAATTATGCATGTCCAACTGTATTATTTCCTGATGCAGCCCTAATTTGAGAATTAACCTGTCTCCCAACAGCAGATGGGGACAAGGAAAAGTGTATTAACATCCACGTCATCTCTCCATAAAAGTCCTGGGCAGATGGACTTAGAATCATAGAAACATAAAAAAGAAATAGGGCTGGAAGGGATCTCAGGGTGCCATCTGCTACATACCCTTGTCCCCAACAGGATATTCTAGTCCAGAACCAGCTGACATTGTTCTAATCTGTTCTGAAAACCCTCCAGTGGAGGAGATTTCCCAGCCTCTGTAATCAGTCTGTTCAATTGCTTTTATCTGTATCAGCAGATACTTTTCCTTAATGTCAAACCTCTGTCTTCCTAGTCATAATTTAAGCCTTTTACATCTCCTTCTCAACTCAAGAAGGCTACAGATGTCAGCTCATTCCCATGTTTTGTGTGACAGGCTTTCATTTACTTTAAGCTTGCCACATATGTCTTGTTTCAGTCCTTGTGTCACCAGCTGTGTACCCAGCTCATTCAATTTTTCCTTGTAGGTCTTGTAGGTTTTCTACCTTTTCACCCTTGTCTCTCCAACATCAGCCTGCTCCAAATGACCAGAACGTAACAATGGTGTCCCCTGGTCATCTCTTACCCCATCATTTCCATGCGGAGTCATTGCCTTTCCCATATTTGTGCAGCTTCTGCCTCAACATAGACTAGTGCAACTAGTGCTCTTGAATTGCATCCTCCCTTTTCAAACCATTTCTGTCTTGTTAAGATCATTTTGAATACCTTGACCCCCAAGTACTGTGAATAATTGTGCTAATTACTCACAAATAGCTGCATCTCCCTACTTTTCCTAGTATTCTGAGTAAAAGAGAACCACCTCGTAAGAGTAGCCATATTTTTTTCTTCTTTATCTGCTACCCAGAGACTTTTGATAGGACCCTCTTCCCCTGCTCCTGAACTGTAGAGGACCTGTATGAAACTGGGATACACCAGGCAATGTCTGCTCCCTCTTCCTGCCTATATTGCTCAACACAAGCTACATTAATATTCCAGTCCCATGCATTAACCCACGAAGTTTCCAACATTCCTCTTAAACTTGATCTGAAGTCTGCATTAAGACTTCAACTGTCCTTGTTAACTCTATATGTCTAGCCTTCATAAGCAGATATATAAGATTTTCTTCAGAGGGACAGATGCTCCTGCTTGACCCTGTTATAAACAAGCCAATTGCACTTTGGGGGATGCCATCCATCAGTTGCTGTGTTCAAGAGGCAGTGATGTTTTATGCTTGGCTGAGCCAAAGCTCTGCAACTCTCTTACTCAATAGCAGAACACATCAATAGTTCTCTGATCTTTGTAATTTCACAGTCTTGTTTTTTTTAAAAAAAAGAATGTTTGAAGAATGTTTGGTCACAATTAGCACTTTTTGGTGCTTGAAGTTAGTTTTAAAAAAAAAAAAAACCAACCAACAGTGTCTAGCATTTTAGAAAAGCATTTCAGCATTTTCAGTTGGATGTCCTTTCCAGCAAATTCTTATTTTATCTGAGCATGTGCAGGACTATTTATTTTGAAGTTTAGTTATGCCTCAGAAAAGCTTTTCTCTCCCTCTCTTCACCAGCTCCCTGTGAGCACCCTCTCTGCAGTATGCCATTTCGCTCAGAAACTCAATTTTCTCTGGGAGCAAAAGATCCCTGATGCCCCAGACTCCTGTTGCATATTGCAAAGCCATGTGCTAGCTTCCCAGCCCCCTTGGGAGCAGATGGCTTCTCCCAGCCTCAGGTAGGAGATGGCACCCGGAGTCGCTTGGCACCCTATTTCCTATGGGTCTATGATTCTATGACTTGGTGGGTAAGGCATGGCATGCATTGCACTGCGGTTTTCACCAACTTCCACCCATCTGCATCTTCACCAGGGATTGCATTCGATAGCAAAGGAACAAAACGACCCATCCTGACACCTCACTTTCCCCTCCCCGAGCTTTTGTACTCCTTCGGTTCAATGTATGCGGAGAATAATAATCACTGCAAAAGAGAATCTCACTTATTCCCCCCTTCCCTTACTTGTCTCAAACAGTAGTTGAGAGAAGTGACAAGAAGGACGTGGTGTTTCTAATTGATGGCTCGGATGGTGTCAGAAGAGGTTTCCCTTTACTGAAGACCTTTGTCCAAAGAGTTGTTGAAAGCCTGGATATCGGTCGTGACAAGGTCCGCGTTGCCGTTGCACAGTACAGCAATGTCATACAGCCAGAGTTCTTACTTGACACCCATGAAGACAAAGCAGATCTCATCAGTGCCATCCAGGAGCTGAAGGTTATGGGAGGATCTCCTCTGAACACTGGAGCAGCCCTCGACTATCTCATCAAGAATGTGTTCACGGTGTCAAGCGGCAGCAGGATAGCAGAGGGCGTCCCGCAGTTCCTGATTCTGTTGACTGCTGACCGGTCCCAGGATGATGTGAGGAGGCCCTCGGTGGTCCTGAAGACGAGTGGCACGGTGCCCTTTGGCATTGGGATTGGAAATGCTGACCTCACAGAGCTGCAGACTATTTCCTTTCTCCCAGATTTTGCTATCTCTGTGCCTGACTTCAGCCAGCTGGATACAGTGCAGCAGGTCATCTCGAACAGAGTCATCCGGCTGACCAAGAAAGAGATAGAGTCACTTGCCCCTGATCTGGTTTTTACATCACCCAGCCCAGGTGAGAGGTTTGTGTCTGCACCAAGAGCCAATGGCAAAATATGATGTTTAGTAACATCATGGTTGCAACACAAACTGAGAAAAACAAAGATGGTCACGGCTAAGACTCCAAGTCCATCTTGGTCTCACTGTTGATGTATTTAGGGTTGGTAGGAGCTGTGTAATTAAGCTGAGCCACCTTTAAGCCCAGTCCCTCAAGGTGGTCCATGTTGTATCCACATGGAAGACCCATAAAGTGAATGCTATGATCTTAATCTTATTTTAAGTTGATGGATTTTAAGTCCATGCTATTCCTCCTCGAGTGGAAATTGTGTCATTTAGATGCTACAGGGACACCTTCACAACACTATAAATCAAGGTCAGCTTTCTGCTAAATGTAAGACCTGCTGATGTGTCTTACATTTGCCATGTTTGTTCACTGGGGGAAGGGAAACTGGAAGCAGGCATCAGGAAAAGGATCAGATCTTCCATTTCTGGTCTCGCTTGGAATGAAATCCAACCAGCATATGCCTGGGATGAAGGGTAGCCACCCCAGATCAGTCCCTTTGAAGTCCACCATCCTATTCTATCTGTTCCTTCTCTTCAGAGCCAGACTGCTTTCCTCCATCCCCATTTATCAGTGTGATATTCAGAGATAATTCAGGCTCTGACCTGAATTACCACTGCAGAAAACATGGTATTAGGAAGCAAAAAGTCATCCTGGAAAGGCAGAAGCTGAGACAATAATAGGATAGAAGATTTCCTAGAGGACAAAGCCAAAGAAAGAGGGGTGGTACTGAGTATAAAACAATCTCAGGCTGCCTGGAAACCTGCCCTGAGTAAGGAACATCACCAGGCTACGTTTCCTTGGGTGGAGATCCCACAAGGAATTATTGTTGCAGGTTTCCCCTGCTCCCTCTTGCTTCCTTTGCTCTGGAAGTTGCTGTTCTTGTACTGCCTGGGGATGTGCCTAGCAGACTGGTCCTGTCTCTGTGTTGAACCCAGAGCTGTCTGCTGGGGCTCCCAGGAGATATCACAGGCGTCGAAACAATGAGCATCCTCCCCATGGCCAAAGGCATGGGCCAGTGATGTAGATGATGAGCTTAGCTGCTATCCATAAGCAATGCATGATGCATCTTCTGACCGCTGCCTTCTTTCCTGCAGCGGGTGTGAAGAGGGATGTTGTGTTCATGGTTGACGGCTCCCGCTATGCTGCCCAAGAGTTCTACCTTGTCCGTGATCTCATTGAGAGGATAGTGAACAACTTGGATGTGGGCTTTGACACCACCAGGATTTCAGTGGTCCAGTTCAGCGAGCATCCCCACGTTGAATTCCTGCTCAATGCCCACTCCACCAAGGATGAGGTGCAGAGTGCTGTGAGACGGCTGCGGCCACAGGGTGGCCAGCAGGTGAATGTGGGAGAGGCCCTTGAGTTTGTGGCAAAGACCATCTTCACCCGACCCTCTGGGAGCCGCATAGAGGAGGGCGTCCCTCAGTTTTTGATCATCCTCTCTTCCCGCAAGTCTGACGATGACTTAGAGTACCCATCACTCCAAGTCAAACAAGTGGGGGTGGCACCTATGGTGGTAGCGAAGAATGTGGAACCTGAGGAGATGGTACAGATTTCCCTTAGTCCTGATTATGTATTCCAAGTCTCCAGCTTCCAGGAACTGCCCAGCCTTGAGCAGAAGCTGCTGACTCCTATTGAAACCCTGACTGGGGACCAAATCAGACGGCTGCTGGGAGATGTGCAACCCCCCGTAGGTAAGGCTCTGTCAACACCAGCTGCCTCTGGGTTGCTATTCAAGGAAATGTTGCCCAAATATGTAAATAACTTTCCATTCTTTCTGTATAAACCAAGGTTTTCCTTAGTTAAAAGCAAAGGTGTAGCACATGTACAGTTTCAGAAGGAAACTTTAGATATGTGGACGTTCTACCCAAGTACCTAATTACATTATAGCTTACGATTTTCCAGTCAAGTACCTAAATACATTAACTACCTTGATTTTCAAGTCAAATACTGCAACATGTATAACTGCCTACTCCCATTTAGCAGCTCTCTAGGAAAGAGACATAAATCGGGGGCAAAATGAAGCTGGAAAAACTGACAAATTTGGAGGACAGTGTTAATGAATGAAACAGATAAGGCTCTGAGTAATGCATGCTTCAAATATTAGGCAGACTGTTGACGCACACATGCACACTTGCACACAAGCCCTTTTGTAGAGGCTCCCTGAAGCACCGTGCTTAAATTTGTCTAAAATATGCTGTGCAGTTTTACATCGCATGAGAGCAGATAGCACAGAAATCCTCCAGCAAAGCTTAAGCAGAGACTTGGCACAAATAATCTCCTCTCTTCTTGCTTGCCTGCAGATATTTCTGGTGATGAAAAGGACATAGTCTTCCTTATTGACAGCTCTGACAGTGTTAGGCCCGATGGGCTAGCTCACATTCGGGATTTCATCAGCAGAATTGTTCAGCAGCTGGAAGTTGGGCCAAACAAAGTGCGAATTGGCGTGGTGCAGTTCAGCAATAACGTCTTCCCCGAGTTCTACCTGAAGACCCACAAGTCCAAAAATGCCGTCCTGCAAGCCATCCGCCGCTTGAGGCTTAGAGGGGGGTCCCCCGTGAATGCTGGCAAAGCCCTAGATTACGTCGTGAAGAACTACTTCATCAAGTCTGCGGGGAGCAGGATAGAAGATGGAGTGCCCCAGCACCTAGTCATCATCCTCGGAGACCGATCCCAGGATGACGTGAACAGGCCTGCTAATGTGATCACTACAACCAGCATTAAACCTCTGGGTGTCGGAGCCAGGAACGTGGACAGGGACCAGCTGCAGGTCATTACCAACGATCCTGAGCGCGTGCTTGTGGTACAGGACTTCACAGGACTCCCAACTTTAGAAAAGAAGGTGCAGAGTATTCTTGAAGAGCTTCCAATACCTACAACAGAAACCCCTGGATTTTTAGGACCTGGTAAGACTGCTATTTACCCTGTAGAAAGCACAGATAGAATTTGTATAATGTGAAAACGATTCTTTCTTACGTTCAACTTAATAACACCTTTTGATTTCCAACATTTTAGTCACATTGCTTTAAAGAAGACTTTGAAGAAGATCTTGTTGAGCATAGGAAAGAATAGAATTAAATTTGAAATGAGATGAGGGCGTCTATCACAAAACCAAGTAATGTTGTATGAAGTATAATAAATGTGTTGTATAAAACCTTGCTTCTTGCATGGATGTAAAATCATGCCAAAGACCGATGAAACTAAAAAGGTAGAAAGAGAGAAACACAATGCTACTTCACAAAGCACTAAGTATCTTAAACGTTATAGATGACACAAACAAATATTAATAACTGTGTTTTCTTTGTAATCTTTTCAGGAGGTAAAAAACAGGCTGACATTGTGTTTTTGCTGGATGGTTCCATCAATCTGGGGAGGGATAACTTCCAAGAAGTTCTTCAGTTTGTCTACTCTGTGGTGGATGCCATTTATAGGGATGGTGATTCTATCCAGGTAGGACTGGCCCAGTACAACTCAGATGTCACTGATGAGTTTTTCCTTAAGGACTACTCCACCAAACCTCAGATTTTAGATGCCATCAACAAAGTCATCTACAAAGGTGGCCGAGTGGCGAACACTGGTGCAGCCATCAAGCACATCCAAGCAAAACACTTTGTGAAGGAGGCCGGCAGCCGAATTGACCAGAGGGTGCCCCAGATCGCCTTCATCGTCACGGGTGGGAAGTCTTCAGACGACGGGCCGAGTGCCTCCTTGGAAATCGCACAGAAAGGTGTCAAGGTATTTGCAGTTGGAGTGAGAAACATCGACCTGAAGGAAGTCAGCAGGCTGGCCAGCGAGAGTGCCACGAGTTTTAGAGCGTCCACAGTCCAGGAGCTATCTGAGCTGAATGAGCAGGTCCTGGTTACTCTGGAAGCTGCTATGGAGGAGAAATTGTGCCCAGGAACAACAGACGTTACAAGAGGTAAGCGTGATCCTTTCATAATATGCTCAGGTCATTCCCGAGGGTGGCTTTTAATATCCAACGCGTTTTGATGGACTTGTGCAGCCTGCTCTTGTGCTCTGCCTATAGCCTGAGGTGCAGCATGGGCTCAGACCTTCTCCATGAGTGTGGTGGTAGGCTGCAAGCCTTTGGTACAAGAGCTGTCTGTTCATGTGCTTCAGCACATGAATGACTGGTGTCCCATCATCACAGAGGTGCAGTCATGGTGGAATAATTTCAGATGTGACAGGCAGGCACTAAATCACTGGCCTCCTACGACCGCATTGGAGGGGCTCCTTTATGTAGCTGCCTTTAGACTAAATCTGCCTTCCTCCCCACATATGTAGGCATATGATGCCAGTAGCATGTTGGCAGACCAACTTTCTTAGTGCCAAAATGAAAAGTGATGGTCCTTGTTTTGCCCACTGTATTTATAACAAACCAATTGGACTCCTTGGCCATTCAGTCCCTGGCATGCATGGTGTGCTGGAATTTCTCTTGCCAGATTGTCCAGGATGCCCACTTGATCTCATGACAGGTATATGAGAAAAAGCTAGGGCACGAGTGGTTGTAGTTTAAGGTTAAATTGTCTTAAAAAGGAATCCCATGATTTTGCTACTTGGAGTGAGTAAGCAAGCTGGTATTGCCATTGGACCAGACTCCCAGCAGCTGGTTGAACTTACTACAGTATGGCAAGTTCCAGTCCCAGCACAACTGACCACAGCTCATCCCTCTGGCTTTTAAGCAGAGGCATCTCCCAAACCTCTGGGGAAGCTGAAGGAGAGCCACAGCAGCCCTGAGCTGAGCAGCAGCTCCAACAGAGATGAAAAACTGAGCGCAGGGAAAAGCAAACCGCTGCTGGTGGTGACCGTGAGTGCTTCTCCAGTGCAGCACCAGTGTAATTAATATCACAGAAATTTCAAACACCTCCCTGCTTGAAAGCCCAGGTAGGCGCAGGAGACATTACATCCAGCAGCCTGATTTCCCTGTGCTCCAGACCACTGGGCAGCTCGGTGGCTGTAGGGTGGCTCCAAGCCCACACTAAATCTTCCTGCAGAAAGGCAGACTGTGCATCACCTCCTGAGCTTGAGCTGAGCAACTTCAATGCTTCTTTCTTCACTAATTCCCAGCTATCCCATATAAATCCTGGCTACACCTTTCAGGGACTTGAGATCAGTCATCTGGTTTTTGCCTTCCTATACATCCCCCTAACTGGAGGATGGTCGCTTCAAGCACAAGCAGAAGGTACATGTACACTGTGCAAGTACTGACAGGTTTTCATGCAGTGGAGAGAAAGCAGCAGTCTTGGCTGCCTGATGAAAATACAAAATTGTGTTAGACTTGGTTTAGTAGGCTCATCCCAATGCTAAGCAACTGTCGTGGTTTAGCCCCAGCCA